TTTATTGTATAAAAAATAGGGGGTCAAATTTCTATGGGGGTTATTTTTCAACGTGTGTGGATTCGTAGAATTACTGGTCTGGAATGTTTTTCTACGGTCGAAAAATGACCCTACTTGTTGAAGAATATTGACCCTGGGTCATTTTTCAACGTAGAAAAATGACCCCCTGGTCAATTTTCTACGGGGGTCACTTTTCGTCGTTACCCTGAACCAGGCTAACAATGTAGGGTGATCTTTCGACTAAAATTTGAATCTTCTTCGTCGTGTACCCTAAATTCGTGCGTACCTCAAAATCGTCCCCAAACTTCTCGAGATACTAGTAGTAAAATTAAAGAAAATAAAGATAAAAAATCTGATTTTTCCTTAGGTCCATTTTTTATTGAAAGTGTACACGGCAGTTGCGTCCCCAAAAATTACTTCCAGATCAAATACCTTCATTTTATTATTTTATACCTGTCAGAGTATTGAATTACGTGCATGGTCTTTTAACTTAAGAATTTTAGAAAAAAGGAATCAACGCTCCAAAGTCATAAGGGTCCTATACTATTTCCACCTAGATATTGACGTTACCTGTGCTTGGTTGACGTACTATGCGGCAAATTATTTCTTTTAAAAAATCTAAGTCATCATTGCAAATGATAGAGTCTCCAAAAATCAGAGATTTTAACAGTCACTTTGACTAAAAGCTGTGCACGAATGCTTCCAACAATAGAAATTTTGTTCGTCCTACAAATTAAAACATTTTATACCGTGATTTTCCCTTTTCTTGTGTGTGTCTTGTTTTAATAAGTTGTTATATACCGTAATCGAGATTTTTTTCCCTCCAGGAATATGTTATTGAGACGGCAACTAAATAAAACCAAATATATTTAAATTATATCAAAAATATTTAATGTACCATACATAAGAATTTATTATACCACCCCTTTCAATAAAATCAATCTTTCAACCTGACCAAGCAGTGATGATCACATTATTTGAATAGATCTACTTTTGACCTTGCCCATTCGCCAGTCCCGATCAATCCCCCCCCCCCCAGTCTGTAAGTCGGTAAGAAGTCAAGTATATGTACATGTAATCAAGAAGAAAATATTTTATTTTTACAAACCAAGAATTTAGTTTATTGAACAGTCGTTTTATTAAAGACCAAAGAAGGTGTATTTTTGTCACAAATTTTATCACCTTGACAGGTGCAGTGTGCATTGAAGCATAACTAATCCAGCGGTCGTCTACTGGGGGCGAACTTCACGATATAATCAAGTAAAAAAAGATCTTTCTCTTTTTGCGAACTCTTCAATTTCTCATCTACTACAGAGCTAGTAGATAATTTTTTTCCTGTATTAAACGTGAATATTTCACACATTATAATAAGGTGAGCAAATTCAAGTCTATATATACGTATAAGATTATAGAATACGTTTTCTTTTTTTTTCAGATTGTGTCGGTCAGACTTGAACTGTTCAAATATTTTGATTTTCTCTCGTTTTTTTGTCAGAAAGTCAATGAATTTTGGAAAATCTAAAATAAAACATTCTATAATTCGCATATCATGTAATTTGATGAATAATGACTGTATTGTTATGACTTCGTTGACAATGTTAATCTGAAAGTATACGTTCGCGTGTTTTGTTTTTTTTTTTTTATTTTCAGAGTCGGTGATAGCGAAAACAATTTACGGTATTCCAAGAGAAGAGAGAATATGCCCCAATTGTACATTAGAAGAGATAGAAGATGAAGTACATTTTCTTTTAAATTGTCCATGCCATAGTCAATCAAGAATGAATTTACTATCCACGATATCTATGAGGTGTCATCATTTTAATAGCTTGTCAAAAAATAACCAATTTTTATGGTTAATGAACTCTGAAGATGTTGATGTGCTGTTCAAATTGTGTGAATTCATAAGTCATGTATAGTTAGAGAAATTTAAAATCATTTGATGTACCTTAGTTAAATACTTATGCTACACTATGTAAATATGTTGTATTACAATTCATTTATTCTCTCAAAAAAACATATATATACATGGTACAAGAGGTACATATATACATATTTACAATAATTATGGACGAGCGGAAATTACAGGAGGACAGACAGAGTCAAAAATTTTTGTAATAAATATACACAATTGTCGTAAAAATGATGGATCTGTACTTGTCATCAAGTTACAAAATTTTATTATATTTGGATGTACATAGTATTTCTGCAATAAAAAATCTTTTCGGGTACTATATAATGCATTACATTCAAGTAAATAATGGAATTCGTCTCCTATCTGATTATTATTACATAAATTGCACACTCTTTCATTTCTGTCAACATTATTCCATCTACCCATCTCTATTGGAAGACGATGGTTACTTGTTCTGAATTTTGAAAAGATGTTTCTAAGTTTTCTTGGTAAAATAGTTAAATATTTTTCACATTCAAACTTTGTTTTAAAAATTCTATATGTAATGCCTTTACTGGAATTATTCATATCACTATACCATTTCTCGCTTTTGGTTTATTGCGGTTGCAATCCATTTAACACTATGAAAATTTTGATTAGTCCAAATATTACAGAGCCCCGTTGTATTAAGAATATTCTGTATGAAAAATATCCATGGATTACTAATTGTTGATATATGTGTGTTGAATTGGATACTCTACATTGAACAGAAGTGGATAACTTTAATACATGTATAATAACAATATACTATCCTTCAGCACTGACTCTTGCTGTCCATTGTAGTTCAGTTTAATTAACACATAATTATGTCAATGTACAATTTATTTATATAATATTTCTTTATCTCCATGAATTCTATGTCTGTTTATTCTGCATGAGGCAGAAGTGGAATTCTGTATATCCTTTAGCACCGACTCTTGCTGCCTCTTGTTGATGTTTCAAACATAGTTTTATGTGTTTTGATATATATATATATATATATATATATATATATATATATATATATATATATATATATATATATATATATATATACCATAAATAATACTTATGCACATTTTTTGTACAACAACCCATCATGCATGTCTATATATGAAACTTAAAAATGCCACCAATACATTTATCAGTATATATATATACTTAACTAGAAGAATTGCTCTTCACAATTATGTTGTATTCTGTCTATTACTTTATTATGTTCAGGCCAAAATAAAAAATAGCTTTGTTTCCCCTAACGCGACCGACCCAATTAAATCGCACCGACTGAAAAGATTTTTTTAAATCAGAAGATTCAATTATTTTTTTTATTGTTAACTAAGTTTCATAAAATACAATTTCATCAAAGTCAGTTTTTAGCAGAACGGCCGACATTGTTCTACTGTGATTTGTTGAAGAAATGGCGCCAAGATGTGATTACTGAGAAAAAGTTTATTTGATAATAAAATTTACCAAGACTAATTAAGAGTGTTTCGGAGGTGTCTTGGCCTCTCCATATGAGTGGATAAATTTTCGAAAGGGACGGTAAACAAGAAACAAACCTGTCTGTTGAATTTAAGGTACATGTACGTAATACATGGTACATGTAAGGCCTGCCTAATGAGCAGATGAGGGGCCCACCTAGTGAACAATCATTCAATTTCACTGCATTTTATTTAATTTGAGTTTTGATCTAATAACCAGTTCATCTTTGTTCCTATGTTTACTATATGCCATTACGGAACCATAGGAGTTTGTAAATATGTCTGTATATTCATCCTGATAAATATAATTCAGATTTTCTTTCTTTAATGCCTTTATTTATGGGTTAAACTTCGTGACTATGATATTGTATATACATGTGGCATTTTTATCATTTGTAGATTCGGTTTGGTTCAATTAAATATTGTTCAAATACTCTTTACAAATAGTTTTGAAATCATGATTCAGCTTCCTGAGACTCCCAGTGTATTTTTCTTTAATAATGCCCTCGAAGATTGCTTGTTTCTTTGCTTTTAATCCCTTTGAGATTTGTTTGGACGACATTTGAAGATTTCCCCATGCTCCAAATTTAGACGTACTCAGCACTTTTTTGCCATTAAGCAGTAAGGGATCTTTTTTGAGCCAGCAACTTTTGCGAGACTGGACATAAGTTTTTATGGTCCCTTTTGAAAGACTGTTTTCAACGTTCCTTATTGGTATTTGGACCTGCGACTTAAAATTAGACACTTAGTTCTTAACTCTAAAGCAAATTGCTCTAGAAACACAGCAAATCTGATGGCCCTCAAAAAGTACATTGATTGTCTGTAAAGCACTGGAGGCTGATGGAAGGTTTGAAAAATATACTCGGAAGTCCGGTCTTTGCGTATTTGAGAATCTTGTCTTTATCTATTCGATCTATATAAATGTACTCTGGCGTGAGATATCTCACAAGTTCAACTAAGTAACAGTTGTAAATTAATTAATCATAAATTTTCCTTTAACATGTTTAAGCAGCATATGTTTGATACCTAGCATTTTGTTCACAAGTCGATTTCTTTTGTACTTTTCTTACTTAATAAGTTTTTTTTCTATTACATTTTAGAACGTATTTTCAAAGCTGCTGTCATAAAATAAAATTGTTTACCTACCTACCGACTCACCTTGAGAATTCAGGGTCGGGTTTGGGGAAACAAAGATATTTTTAATTCCGGCCTTATATGTAATTATATATGTTATATGTTTATGCCCAATGGGCCCTGATTGGTAATTAATTCTATATTCTATTCTATTCTATATATATATAAACCGTTTTCCTTGTCTACTTTTTGGGACAATCCTCGTATATTCCTACAAGACCTTTTAAAAAGATTAAAACCATTTTCAATAAAATGTAAATTATAAACTTAAGTTATAAGCAGAATTAAATTTTTGTCTTAATCGTTAAGTCTTTTGTAAAACGCCCCCTCTGGCCTGGTCGGAGATTAACACTGTCGAACGTCTGGTTCAACGAGACTATAAATAGCCTATTGTCAAGGGGGAGTACTCGTATAGTCACAGTCTTAATCCTCGGCTGACGCCACACTTTCGGTTTCGGGTGTTGTGGGAATACCTATGATGCAGTGCTACTGGTAGGTAGTCAGTAATAGTTTAATAGGTTATCATTTTATTTAAACAATAAAAATCATATTTATGAATTTGAAAGTTTAGAAGGAGGTTTTTGCCATGGTAATGTGTAATGATTGATCAATTTTGTAGGTCAACTGTATGTCATTCATTGTAGACCGGTATTAAAGCAAGGTAAGATTATTAGGCTATGACAGCCATTTGCTTAGTGCCAACTGCCACACATATTTGATTAAATTTTCATATTTACTTGATATTTATGTGAATTGTCAAAAAAAAAAAACAACAAAAAAAACAGGCGTGGATCAAGGATTTTTTCCTGGAGGGATCCACCCCAGTAAAAATAAATCCAACTCAATTTCTCTTGTCAAGAAAAGTAGCGTAAACTCCTCTCCTAAACGTGAAAAATTATTTGGGTGGTGGTGGTGGGGGGGGGGGGGTAATGCTTCATATCTATAACTTTCATACAAATTAACTTAACAGGGATCCGCTTTTGTCGGGGGGGGGGGATGTCCAAGGTCAGTTTTAGTTGGTTTAGTTTATATATAGAATGACTGTACAAATTGCATGCTTATAATTGTAAGAACTACGCATATTAATTCTCGATTCCCATCCACGTTCTCCATCTGTTTAAAAACTTGTTTGAATGCAAAGAAAAATTCATTATTAGTATTAAGTACTTATTCTAACAACCATTGACAAAAGTTTAATTGCTCTGATTTTCAAATACTTATGAAATTGGATAAACGACTCCTGAGTTTTAACATATTTTATTGTTTTGATGTTATAACAAAAGGATTGGACACAAGTTCTTAAAAACTTAGAACGTCCTCTCCTTTACAACAATTAATCTAAGGTCAAGAAGATTATCTAACAAAGGTAATGCATGTACAGAATTGAATTAATGTAGTATGGACAAACAAATGTAAATACATTACTCAAAAACGACCAGATCTCTTGATAAACAATTGCACATTTAAAAATAAACTTTCATTTTCAGAAATACTGATCGAATTATCTCCCCATAATAGAACATGAGTGTTTACAATACGTAAATATATCATTCTAAAAATAGCATTGAACAAGTCGTTTCGACGACTCCTTAATCTCACCGTATGTTTTAATTTACGTAAAATTCAACAATCATATGAGATTGATAAAGTATATTTTTATTCGTTATCTTACAAAATGATTATTTTCCTGTTTTTAATCTTTATCCCCCCCCCCCAAGACAACAAAACCTTTGGAAAATATAAAAACTGAAGATTGGGATTTGTCTTTGTTTCAAAGGGGAGATATTGTTAAGATACCGGTAAATTTCAATTTTCAGTTAATTTCTATGGTAAACATTTGAACATTTTTCTCAAAGATTTATATCTCTTTGTTTTTACAAAATAAGTTATGTTTAATAAGAACAGATCTAGGGAAAGAGGGGGAAGGGGGGGGGGGTCCGGACCACCCCTTTGAAATTTGTAAAGTTATTTAAAGTACAAACTAAACCAACTGAAATTTTTACTAAAAAAAGGACCTTGCCCCCCCCCCCCCCCCCCCCCCCGAAGACGTGGATCCGTGTTTAGTTGGAATGAAAAAAAAATGTAATAGATAGACATATAGCATAAGAAGCCCTTCCCCCTCCCCCCGTCAAAATAATTTTTCACGTTCAGGAAATGAGTTTACTTTTTTTCTTGTCAAGAATTTTCTGGGTTGGGTGGTTTTTTTTTTTTACATGGGTGACCCTCTTGGAAAAAAAATTCCTACTGGATCCTCGCCTTTTTTCTACTAGATCCTCACCTTTTTTGACAATTCACAAGAATATCAAAATAAATATGAAAATTTATTCAAAAATGTGTGGCAGTTGGCAGTAAGCAGCTGACAGTCAGCAGTAAGCAGTTAGCAGTTGGCTGTCGTATATGGAATTCCTATAGGCCTTTTTTTTTTTTTTTTTTAATTTTTTTTTATAGAATTTTAGTCAATATATTTTTAGCTCTACTTGTCAGAGACCAGAAGAGCTTATGCGATAGTAATGCGTCCGTCGTCTGTCCGTCTGTCTAGCTGTCCGTCTGTAAACAATTCTTTCAAAATGCTACTCCTCCTACAGTTTGGTCCGATTTCAATATTGGCACACAAGTAGACTACACTTAGATACATAATTCTGTGCATCGTTTTTTTATTTCCATGAACAGTGTTGGCATGGTTACTAAAAATAGAAATTTCTGTGAAATTCTTTCAAAATGCTACTCCTCCTACAGTTTTGGACCGATTTCAATATAACTTGACACACAAGTAGACTACACTAAGATACATAATTCTATGCATCAGTTTTTGATTTCGATGATTGGTGTTGCCGTGGTTACTAAAAATAGAAATTTCTGTGAAATGCTTTCAAAATGCTACTCCTCCTACAGTTTTGGACCAATTTCAATATAACTTGGCAGACAAGGAGACTACACTAAGATACTTAATTCTGTGCATGCTACTCCTCCTACGGTTTTGGACCGCTAAGATACATAATTTTGTGCATCAGTTGTTGATTTCGATGAACGATGTTCAGTGTTGCCGTGGTTACTAAAAATAGAAATTTCTGTGAAATTCTTTCAAAATGCTACTCCTCCTACAGTTTTGGACCAATTATAGTTTAACTTGGCATACAAGTAGACTACACTAAGATACATAATTTACTGCATCAATTTTTGATTTCGATGATTGGTGTTGCCGTGGTCACTAAAAATAGAAATTTCTGTGAAACTCTTTCAAAATGCTACTCCTCCTACAGTTTTAGTCTGATTTCAATATAACTTGGCACAAATGTAGACTACCTAAGATACATAATTCTTTGCATCAGTTTTTGATTTCGATGAACGGTGTTGCCATGGTTACTAAAAATAGAAATTTCTGTGAAATGCTTTCAAAATGCTACTCCTCCTACAGTTTTGGTCCCATTTCAATATAACTTGGCACACAAGTAGACTACACTAAGATACATAATTCTGTGCATCAGTTTTTAATTTCGATGAATGATGTTGCCGTGGTTACAAAAAATAGAAATTTCTGTGAAATGCTTTCAAAATGCTACTCCTCCTACAGTTTTGGACCGATTTCAATATAACTTGGCACACAAGTAGACTACACTAAGATACATAATTCTGTGCATCAGTTTTTAATTTCGATGAATGATGTTGCCATGGTTACTAAAAATAGAAATTTCTGTGAAATTCTTTCAAAATGCTACTCCTCCTACAGTTTTGGTCCGATTTCAATATAACTTGGCACACAAGTAGACTACACTAAGATATATAATTCTGTGCATCAGTTTTTAATTTCGATGAATGATGTTGCCATGGTTACTAAAAATAGAAATTTCTGTGAAACTCTTTCAAAATGCTACTCCTCCTACAGTTTTGGACCGATTTCAATAAAACTTGGCACACAAGTAGACTACACTAAGATACATAATTCTGTGCATCAGTTGTTGATTTCGATGATTGTGTTGCCATGTTACTAAAAATAGAAATTTCTGTGAAACTCTTTCAAAATGCTACTCCTCCCACAGTTTTGGTCTGATTTCAATACAACTTGGCACACCAGACTATACTAAGATACCGAAGGCTCAAGTGAGCTTTTCTGATCAAAATTTGTCCGGCGTCCGTCTGTCTGTCCGTAAACTTTTCACATTTTCGACTTCTTCTTAAGAACCGCTGGGCCAATTTCAACCAAACTTGCCACAAAGCATCCTTGGGTGAAGGGGATTCAAGTTTATTCAAATGAAGGGCCAGGCACTCATTCAAGGGGAGATAATTGGGAATTAATGAAAATTTGGTGGTAAGTTTTAAAAATCTTCTTCTCAAGAACCAGTGTGCTAGGAAAGATGAAACTTATGGGGAAACATCCTCAGGTAGTGTAGATTCAAGTTTGTTCAAATCATGACCCCCAGGGGTAGTGCGGGGCCACAATGGCCAACCAAAGTTTTACATAGAAAGATATAGGAAAATTCTTTAAAAATCTTCTTCTCAAGAATAACCTGGCCATAATTGATCATATTTATGTGGAAGCATCCCCAGGTAGTGTAGATTCAAGTTTGTTAAAATCATGACCCCCGGGTGTAGGGCGGGGCCACAATGGCCGACCAAAGTTTTACATAGAAATATATAGGAAAATTCTTTAAAATCTTCTTTTCAAGAATAACAAGGCCATGATTGATCATATTTATATGGAAGCATCCTCAGGTAGTGTAGATTCAAGTTTGTTCAAATCATGACCCCCTAGGGGTAGGGGGGGGGGGCACAATGGCCAACCAAAATTTTACAAAGAAATATATAGGAAAATTCTTTAAAAATCTTCTCAAGAATAACAAAGCCATAATTGATCATATTTATATGGAAGCATCCTCAGGTAGTGTAGATTCAAGTTTGTTCAAATCATGACTCCAGGGGGTAGGGCAGGGCCACAATGGCCGACCAAAGTGTTACATAGAAATACATAGGAAAATTCTTTAAAAATAAGAATAGCAAAACCATGATTGGTCATGGGACTACTTTTGGATTTAAACTTTTCAATAGTAAACCAATTTCTACTTTTTCCTAGCCGCAGTGCTCAGGTGAGCGATGTGGCCCATGGGCCTCTTGTTATTTTGATGAGCGGCAAGGATCATTTTTCTATTTATTGCTGTTTTAAAGTTTCAAGTCCCAACTGTTTCTTTTCTCTTCTTTTGTTTTAAGTATAAACCAGTAGAGCTACAGTCTGGACAGAGACTTCTGGTTTTAAAGAACAAAATATTGAATGTGCATAAATATTTTGGTTACATCTACCACATGATGTCTACCTGTTTTAAAATAGCCCGTTGGAATTTATTTGCTTATTTTCCTCTACATTCTTACACAAAAACACTTACATGCAAAACATGGTTATATAATTTTACTGTTCTTCTGCTTTCAAAGGATATTCCCCTAAAATGACTGAAAACCAATTTAACAAATTACAACCTGAGAAGTTGTGTCCCTTCAATAGTAATGACTGGGAGACAATGAAGAATAAGCGAAATTGTCCAGATCCAGAGTTTTATCACTGTATGCCAAACCAGTACAACGAGCCGGGGGAGATCTGTGTCAAACCAAACTGGGCGTCAAAAAGTAAGAACTCTATACACTAGTGTTGTCATGATGATTGATTTATAATTGATTGGAAAGGCTGTCGATTTTAGACAATCGATTGGAGATTTTAACAATCAATTATATTCGGTGTACTACAGCGCATATCTTTTTGTAGCTTTCTCACTATTATTTCAAGAAAAAGCTCTTGTTACCAAAATATATATCATCCAAGTGTTGTCATTTACCATTTTAACATACTTTTAAAATCTGGTTTAAAATAAATTATAAGATAATGATATTTGTATAAATTCTAAACTGAAGAAACTAAACTACTTGAGTTGTATAAATAAATAATTATATTAGTTTTCAGTATTTGGGAGAATTCACTTGTCATTTCATACGGAATCACATGGATTAAAGTTTTACATAAAAATATATAGGAAAATTCTTTTAAAATCTTCTTCTCAAGAACCACTGTGCCAGGAAAGATGAAACTTATTGGGAAGCATCCTCAGGTAGTATAGATTCAAGTTTGTTCAAATCATGACCCCTGGGGGTAGGGCCACAATGGTCGATCATAGTTTCACATAGAAATATATAGGAACATTCTTTTAAAATCTTCTTCTCTGGAATAGCAAAGGCATGAATGATCATATATTTAGGTCACCTGAGTAAACTCAGGTGACTTATTGCTATCTGTTTTTGTCCGTCGTCGTGCGTTGTGCGTTGTGCATTGTGCGTTGTGCGTTAACATTTGAACATTTTCAGCTTCCTCTCTGCAACTACTGAACCAATTTCAACCAAATTTGGCACAAAGCATCTATGAGGGAAGGGGAACAAAAATTGTGAATTTCATGATCCCTGCCCCCTGGGGCCTGAGGGGTGGGGCCAAAACCACTATTATTAATTAATGCAATCTTTAAAAATCTTCTTCTTTACTCCTGGACATCAAGCAGACAAACTGTTTGCATGATTGTAATCAGCATTGAGTCCTCTACCAAAATTGTGAAATTCATGGCCCTGGGGTCAGGGGTTCTAGTGCTAGGGCGGGGCTAAATAAGTATATAGTGAAAATGCATTATTTCTTTGAAAATCTTCTTCTCTGCTCCTTGTTATTAAATAAACAAACTACATACATAGTTATGATGAGCAAGAGTGCCTCTTCCAAAATTGTGAATTTTATGGCCCCAGGGTCAGGGGTTCTGGTGTTAGGGCAGGGCTCTATTGATTATATAGGGAAAATACATAAATTCTTTGAAAATCTTCTTCTCTGCTCCTGGGTATTAAATAGATTAACTAAGTGCATAGTTATGATGAGCAAGAGTGCCTCTACCACAATTGTGAATTTTAGGGCCCCAGGGTCAGGGGTTCTGGTGTTAGGGCGGGGCTCTATTGATTATGTAGTGAAAATACATGAAAATCTTCTTCTCTGCGCCTGGGTATCAAATAGATTAAATAAGTGCACAGTTTTGATGAGCATGAGTGCCTCTACCAAAATTGAGAAATTCATGGCCCTGGGGTCAGGGGTTCTAGTGCTAGGGCGGGGCTAAATAAGTATATAGTGAAAATGCATTATTTCTTTGAAAATCTTCTTCTCTGCTCCTTGTTATTAAATAAACAAACTACATACATAGTTATGATGAGCAAGAGTGCCTCTACCCAAATTGTGAATTTTATGGCCCCAGGGTCAGGGGTTCTGGTGTTAGGGCGGGGCTCCATTGATTATATAGGGAAAATACATAAATTCTTTGAAAATCTTCTTCTCTGCTCCTGGGTATTAAATAGATTAACTAAGTGCATAGTTATGATGAGCAAGAGTGCCTTTACCACAATTGTGAATTTTAGGGCCCCAGGGTCAGGGGTTCTGGTGTTAGGGCGGGGCTCTATTGATTATGTAGTGAAAATACATGAAAATCTTCTTCTCTGCGCCTGGGTATCAAATAGATTAAATAAGTGCACAGTTTTGATGAGCATGAGTGCCTCTACCAAAATTGTGAAATTCATGGCCCTGGGGTCAGGGGTTCTAGTGCTAGGGCGGGGCTAAATAAGTATATAGTGAAAATGCATTATTTCTTTGAAAATCTTCTTCTCTGCTCCTGGTTATTAAATAAACAAACTACATACATAGTTATGATGAGCAAGAGTGCCTCTACCCAGATTGTGAATTTTATGGCCCCAGGGTCAGGGGTTCTGGTGTTAGGGCGGGGCTCTATTGATTATATAGGGAAAATACATAAATTCTTTGAAAATCTTCTTCTCTGCTCCTGGGTATTAAATAGATTAACTAAGTGCATAGTTATGATGAGCAAGAGTGCCTCTACCACAATTGTGAATTTTAGGGCCCCAGGGTCAGGGGTTCTGGTGTTAGGGCGGGGCTCTATTGATTTTGTAGTGAAAATACTTGAAAATCTTCTTCTCTGCGCCTGGGTATCAAATAGATTAAATAAGTGCACAGTTTTGATGAGCATGAGTGCCTCTACCAAAATTGTGAAATTCATGGCCCTGGGGTCAGGGGTTCTTGTGTTGGGGGGGGGGGGGCTAAATAAGTATATAGTGAAAATGCATTATTTCTTTGAAAATCTTCTTCTCTGCTCCTAGGTATTAAATAAACTAACTAGGTACATAGTGATGATGAGCAAGAGTGCCTCTTCCAAAATTGTGAATTTTAGGGCCCCAGTGTCAGGGGTTCTGGTGTTAAGGGAGGGGGGTTCTATTAATTATAGTGAAAATTCATGAATTCTTTGAAAATAAACTTCTCTGCTCCTGGGCATTAAGCAGTTGAACTACCTATATAGTTATGGACAAGGACCCTAGTCTTCTAGAATTGTGAATTTCAAGGCCCCAGGGTCAGGGGTACTATAGAGGGGGGGGGGGGGCGGGCTGTACTTATAGACTGAAAATGAATGAATTGTTTGAAATCTGCCCCCTTGGTCTTAAACAAATATTTTTGAAAAGCAAGGATGCCTTTTCAAAGATTGTGCAATATGTGGATCTAGGCCTAAAGGTCAGGGGTCCATGTGTGGTAGGGGCACTACTGATTATTGCTGAATATTACTGATTAGTTGAAATGCATTTTTTGTTCCTCTGCCTTGCCTATGGGTATTAAGTAACCAAACTAAGCAACTTCTAAGTGTATAGTTATGATGATCAATGATGCCTCTTTCAAAATTGTGAATGCCATAGCATCTGGCTTAAAACATGAATCAAATTCAATCACTGGAAAGTTGTTGCATAATGCTCAGGTGACCTATAAGGCCCATGGGCCTCTTGTTATGGAAGCATCTTCAGGTAGTGGACATTTTTGTTTGTTTAAATCATGACCCCTGGGGGTAGGGTAGGGCCACAATATGGAATCCAAGTCTTACATAGAAACATGTAGAAAATTTTTTTTAAAATCTTCTTGTCAGAATTAGCAAAGCCTTGATTAATCCTATTCATATGGAAGCATTCTCAGATAGTGTTGATTCAATTTTGTTTAAGTCTTGACCCCTAGGGGTAGGGCGGGGCCACAATGTAAGTTCAAATGTAAAGGGCAATAAAGCCACAGGTAGTCAAAGAAATATGCAAGGATTCTTAGTTAGTGTCGATTCAAGTTTGTTCAAATCATACCCTCTCCCTTTTAAGGATTGTTTGGGGGCACTTATAACTGGGTTTCAACTTTTCAATAATAAACTGATTTATGTCTTTTTCCTAGCCACATCGCTCAAGTGAGCGATGTGGCCCATGGGCCTCTTGTTTGACTAGTCTAATAACTATTTTGTACAAATGGTCAGCTATTTGATTATCGCTGATGATCAGTTGGTTAGAGTCAACAGTTGCTGCCGATTAATCAATTCTGATTTTCAACCGATTTGACAACACTACTAATAACTTATACACATCACGTTATTGTACACATATCTTATCAGTTGCGATATCATAAACAAATAGTGAAAGATGAAAAAGGCTGAATCAAAACAAAAAGCTTTTTAGCATTAATTAGTTATACATGTATATGTAAGTATAACATCTAATGGAAATTATAGAAAGTTATGATGTAAAATATATTATGAAATATACTCTTCAAAAAGAGAAACGCATAGTAGGAACAATACCCTTAAAAATGTATGATAGTTTTGTCATACTTTTTATTTTTATATGGATATGATGTATTAGAGTGAAATACGTGATTTTTTAATGCAATTGTTAACTTTACAGCTATTCTACAAGTCTCACAGACAAAAAGACCTGATTTTGCAAAATTTCCCCCAAAATTTTTATCTCAGTTTTCATTTGTTGAATTCTGATGCAATTCCTTCAGGTACAAAGGGGCTATCAAAAGTGGGGGTTCTCGATATTTTGAATCTGGATTTATCTGAAAGATGACGCTTCCTAAAAATGCTGCATCTGAATGTTGGATAGCACAAAAAAGAAAATGGGTGACTGGAAGCTGGGGTACCGCAATCTACAATCGCAAGAGGTTTTAATGTTACGCACAGCGCCATAACTAACCTATAAAACATAAACCATTAACATCAAATACCCAATATTTGCCAAAAATATGGTAGACTATGTGACATCAGCAGCACAGCATCACTTCAGAGGATTATGTAAATTGCATGAATGTAATGCAATGACGTCATCTAAAGTATTAGCTATCCCTGAACTGCACAGATCATCTAACAAGACCGTTTTCAGTTGACTACTAATTATTGCAAGAGGGTTATTCATGCCATTGTTCTGACCTAACAACACCCCAAATATCAACTTCAAAGATCTCAGATCAATAGAGTATGACAACAGCATCACTGCTGAACATTTTGGTTTAGCTACAAGTTCAGAATGTTTATCTGAAAGCCTTTTATAAGTTTAAGAGTGCTAGTGCTTTGTAATGAATATTAGACAGATAACTGCCTCCGTCTTGGAGTATACAAAAAAAATTAAGAATTTTTGTTGTTGGAACATGCAGATTTGCATTGTGGTACAGCTAAGTGGCAGACTTGCATATATAATTATAAGTTTGTTAATATGTTGATAGTGCAACTGTATGTAAAGGTAGAATTTTCTCTTCACACAGGCATTACTTTAAAAGCTCGCAGTGACAAGCAGCACTATATATGTGCTAGCAAGCTGTTCCCTGTGCTCATCATGAATAGAACTTGAAAATTATATAAGTACATGTATAGCTAATATCAACTACATGTAAAAATACAAATGTTCAACTATATAATTGTATAGTCTTTCAATAATTATCATATTTTATATGAATAATGAGATAATAACAATTAAGATAGGTGTAATTGGGGTTTAATACAGGAAATACTGGTAATTATGATAGAGTTTTGTTGCAGTCTTGCTTGAACAGTTCTTCATTAATTTATTATGTAGATTACTGTCCCATTTTCAATACGGCTGCCAATGACATTGACCTCATTCCCTGTGACCTTCAATATGGAGCATGCTCAGACACAGATTACAGATCTAATCAAGTCTTTCTATGTAAGTACAAACTCTCAGATAAAAATAGCAGTGCACAACAGCAGCAATTTGAAAATATATATGCAGTATAATTAATTCATATGACACGAAATCCATTTATGCTCATGATTTGTAAAAGAAAGCATACATGTTTGTACATTAATGTATCTTCATGTAAAATACCTGAATTAGTACTACATTCAATTTTTGTTGTTGTTGTCTAAAATATTCATCCTCAAGTCCTTTAATTAAACTAAATTTAAAGCATTAAAAAATAGATAAAAGCATTGAAATATTTTTAAGTTTTATAGTTAATAAAGTTTTAACAATTAATACATTTGCAAATGTTCACGTATAATCAGATCAACCAAACCTTTACATTGTGAACCCTGCAAATGCCAGTTCTCTTCAAAAGCTGCCTTCTGAATTTATTATTTCTGGCTTATCACACAAATCATACAAATCAGGCTACATTTTTTAAAAGTATATTTTAATATGGATTTTTTCCCTTTTTGGGGTGATAAATTTAATACAATTGAATTTTAATTTTGCTCTTATGGTTTTTTCGAAAAATTGTATGATTTGTTTTGAAAGGAAACACTTGTTGTGCTTACTTTTTGAGAACAGCAAAGCCATCATGGTCCTGCATGTACATCATGTACATGTATCTGGAAACATCCTCACTCAGGTAGTATTCAAGTTTGTTTAAATCATATTGGTATTGTTTTCCACAATGAGTGATCAAAGTTTTATTTAGGAGTACATTGAAAAAAAATCTTGAAAAATATTTTTTTTAAAAACAGCATAGCTATAATAAGTCCTATTTATATGGAAACCTGATAAGCTTCTTTATATAGAGTAGATTCAAAGTAGTTCCATCGATGTCCAGTAGATTAGGCCTGTGCCACAAAAAAGATCAAATATACAGGAAAAAATCTTGAGAAATCTTCTACATGTTCTAAAGCCATGATGTAGAAGCATCTTACGTTATTGTGGATTTGAGGGTATTTTTCAATCCCCCCCCAATCATATCCCCCTGGCACAGAAGAGGGGTACCTAATTATTATAAGCTCAGGTGAGCTATGTGGCCCATGAGCCTTTGTTTTTCTGTTTCTTTCATCCTTGAACTCTTGAATGGAGTAGATTCAAACTTCAAACAAAAGTCGGTATACATTCATTATTGGCATGCATGAATCTATGAATAATATGACAAAGGGATAGGAGTTATTATTGTCTGTGGTAAGATTAAGAGTGAGTATTTGGGTTAAGATGAAAATTATTAAAACATTATGTTTTTGGCAATCATGATTCGATATAATATGACATCCAAGATATCGACAGTAAGGTCAACTAATAATAAGAAAGTACATTTACACGTGTATTGCATAAAGATCAAATACAATCACAAGAGTTATGACGAAAATGATTTGATATCATTTTGACATCATTTCAAACATATGACGACATTGCTCATAAAAATATCCAGAGCTTTGAAGTCAGCATATATCCCTCTGTTTAAGAACATAATTAAATATTTCGCTGTCCAGGTTTGATTTGGGGGGCAAGTAATGGTTATTACCGAATAAAGTTCTTTGTTCAAATCATGACCCCTGTGGGTAGGGTGTGGCAAATGGATGATCAAAGTTTTACATAATTATATGGAAGCATTCTCTGGTAGTGTTGATACAGGTTTGTTCAAATTATGACCTTGGGGCAAGGGTTGGGCCATAAATTGTTTGATCAAAATTTTAAGTAGGATTACATGCAGAAAAAAAATTAAAATTCTTCCCCTCAAGAATGGTAAAACTGAGATTTTTCATATTTATATAAAAGCATCCTTAGGTACATGTAGTGTAGATTCAAGTTTGTTCAAATCATGACCCCCGGGGTTAGAGTTGGGCCGCAATTGGTGATCAAGGATTTATGTAGGAATACATAGGAAAAATCATTAAAATTCTTCACAAGAACAACAAAGCCATGATTGATCATCAATATGAACCATAAAAAAGTAATGCAGATTTAAATTCGATCAAATCATGACCAACTAGGAGAACAGAGGAGCCTATAAAGTGGATCATAGTTATACAAAGGAAAACAAAGGCTATGTCTATGAAAATTATCATCTTGTTAACAGGGAAGGCATTATGTATCATATTAATTCAAAAACATCTTTATGAACTGTAGATTTAAGTTTGTTCCACCCCACCCCCCCCTTCCCTGAACCCTATTATATATTTTTTCAATACTGAACTGATTTTTGCTCTTAGCTAGCCATGGCCAGTTTGCTCAGGTGAGTGATATAGCCCCTGGGTCTTTTGTTGTAATTAGGTGGCATAAATATGTGTTATAGACATTTTTTTCCATCTTAAACATGCTGATCAATCCTTTTATCAATGTTACAGATCCTGGGTGTCTAAACAAAACTCTCATAATGTAAGTATTCTTGACATGCAGATGTTTTTTTCATCTTTTTTTAACATACATGTATTAAAAAAGAAAGCAAATCTCATATAGATTTTGGTCAGAATATGACTATATACTAGTAATTGATTTCACTGTTTTAAATATTTTTACATGTTTTTTGATGTAAATAAAAACATTTTTGAAACTGTATTATGACAAGCATAAGGTTAATCAACTCAATGATGAGGAATGTCACCGGTTTTATAAAATGCAAGATATGCTTTTGAAACAGTGATGCCCTGTATCACAGCTTATAGTGAGGGTTGAAGTTCATCAAATGGAAGTCAAACACCAAGCTCAAGGCAAAAACTCAAAATTGTTCATATCCAAAGGAAAGTCCTGTCACAAAGAATTCATCTGTAAAGTATGAAAGCCCTTGTACTAAGGATTAAAAAATTATGGCCAAGGTTAAAGTTTTTTACATAGCTGCTCAAACTTTTAGGTCAAGGTCAAAACTGAATAGGTACAAAATATTTAAACTAATTGAAAGGTCTTGTCACAATTTATACACAAGTTAAGTATTAATTAAGCCCTAGCACCAACATCAAGGTTAAGAGATCATTTTTAGCTCACCTCGATGAAGTCGAGATGAGCTTATGCTATACCCCCGGCGTTGGCGTCGGCTTTAGCGTCGGCGTCCCAGGTTAAAGTTTTAGGAGCAAGTTCATTCCTAAGTAACTATAAGCCCTACCTGAACCAAACTTGCATGGATGATGCATCTAGGAATGTACACTACCAGACTTGCTTCGGATGCTGGATCTGACCTACATTTTCTTGTAGGGATGGGTATCGCCAAAAATTTCGTATCGCGATATATCACGATTTTTTCTCCACAATATCACGATAATATCATGATATTTTTAAAAGCAGTTTTTTCAATGATTTTATATGAAAAGTCATTATTTTTCTAAAAACTATGCTAGAAAAACAAAATTTTACTTTCTTGAAATTTTTATGTATATAGAATCAATTACGTTTGGATGATAAGATGCCGTTCTTTTCACTTTTTACAACATTTTTTATACCTTCTGTAATTGTTATTGAAAGATTGAACAAATAAATGAATAATTTCTGGACTTTATAATATGTACCTGAAGACCGGTATTTATCACGATACGTATCACGCAACAAAAAATCGTGATATACCGGTATACCGATAAAATCGCACATCCCTATTTTCTAGATGAGTGAGCAGGTAAAAGTTTTCGGAGCACTTCCATTCCCAAGTAACTATAAGCTCTACCCAGACCAAACTTGCATGGATGATGCATCTAGGGATGGACACTACCATACTTGCTTCAGATGCTGGATCTGACTTACATTTTCCAGATGAGTGACCAGGTTAAAGTTTTTGGAGCAGGTCCATTCCCAAGATTAGTGACCAGGTTAAAGTTTTTGGAGCAGGTCCATTCCCAAGTAACTATAAGCCCTACCCGGATCAAACTTGCATGGATGATGCATCTAGGATGGACACTACCAGACTTGCTTCGGAAGCTGGATCTGACCTACATTTTTAGATGAGTGACCAGATTAAAGTTTTTGGAGCAGGTCCATTCCTAAGATGAGTGACCAGGTTAAAGTTTTTGGAGCAGGTCCATTCCCAAGGAACTATAAGCCCTACCCTAACCAAACTTGCATGGATGATGCATCTGGGGATGGACACTACCAGACTTGCTTCGGATGCTGGATCTGACCTACATTTTCCAGATGAGTGACCAGGTTAAAGTTTTTGGAGCAGGTCCATTCCCAAGAAGCTGTAAGCCCTACCCAGACCAAACTTGCATGGATGATGCATCTAGGGATGGACACTACCAGACTTGCTTCGGATGATGGATCTGACCTACATTTTCATTCCCAAGTAACTATAAGACCTACCTGAACCAAACTTGCATGGATAATGCATCTAGGGATGGACAATACCAGACTTGCTTCGGATGCTGGATCTGACCTACATTTTGATTCCCAAGTAACTATAAGACCTGCCTGAACTAAACTTGCATGGATGATGCATCTAGGGATGGACACTACAAGACTTGCTTCGGATGCTGGATCTGAACTTGAAGTCCTTGATATCTGCAGTATTAACAAATTTATGAATAATTGTTTACACTTTACATGATTTTCACGCTACATGCATAGAAATGTGTAAGTGACATGTAAGGGGTTAAACACAACTTGCAAGAATATTGTTGTTGGGATAAATACTAGATATTAAGAAAATATGATGTGAGATTTGCATTACTTACACTGATAACATTCATCGAGGTGAGCTTCGTAATCTTTGATTACCTATGTTTTTAGTGGTAAAGAAAGGTCTTGTCACTAGAAATACACCTGTGAAATATTAAGCCATAGCCCCACCTAGTCAAAAGTACTTGGCAAGGTTGAAGGTTTTACGGACAAACAGGCAGATGGATGGACAGGGCAAAAATATTACCCAATCTACGATCACGGGACATAAAAAAGTTATGTTGTTACATATATATGATCTCTTAGGGCTTGATGGGGCATTGTTGAGGAATTAAAAAATTAAGATATGAATATACAGGGTAAATTCTAGCTATCAAAAATGTTCATCTAAAGAACAACAGAGTATAATCGAATACAAGTTATGTCTAATGTGTTATTTATATGCATATTTGTTCTAATCATGGTGCAAGGAATGGGGCAACAGGTTTATACAGATCTGAAGTACATTGACATATATACAACACAGTTTGTTTACAGCTGACATTTTGTAAGTTTGAATTGCTGAAATTCGTGGCACACGAATTGATGAGTGCAAAAATCGGTTTTACTTATTAATAATTAAATATTCATCAATCAGTAAGAATATGTTGACACTTTTAAACAATTTAAATATGGATCTGGAGTTCAAAGAAAGATGAACCAATTTGTTAGCTTTTCTGATATAAGTTGTCCGCCATCAATCTGTGTATTGTATTTTTCTGGTCAGTAATTCGTCCTGTGTTAACATTTTAACATTCCTTATTTGGGTTTCTTATCTATCAAAAGGATAAATTTTAGCCAAATGTGGCATGAAATATTATTGTAATATTTAAGGAGTTATTGTGCAAATGAAGGGGAGATTTTATTCAAAGGGATAACTTCAATAAATATTAAAATCTGTAGTTTTTTTAAAAAGAAAAAGGTCATGTAATCATTTAAAAATCTTCAGAACTACAGAAAATTAAAGGCAAAAGTTAAAGTAAAGCTTTCATTCTTGAAAGAGATTCAACTTTGTATAAAATAAACCTCTACACCCCCACCCCCCAATAACAATAAATGGTCATATATATAAGTTATGACAACAGCAAGTTAAGAGTGTCTGAAAAATCTTTTTTACAAGACCAGATCTAAGTCTAGATGGGCTACAATTAGAAATTAATATCGGAACATAGCCATGTAGAGCTTAAGCTTATAAGTTCAAATCTCTATTTTCTTTAAAAAAAAAAAAACTAAGTAAAATCATGAAATTTAATTATTAAATGGCTAAGAAATGGTACATGGTCTCTATTAAATTACATGTATGATATTATTATTTGAGTGAAAAGTAGATCACACATGTGAGCAATTAGCCGTTGGGCCTCTTGTTTTCATAGTACAAGATCTTAAAAATATTTGATCAGCTGAAGTTATTCATGAATATTAAGATTATGAATGGGTTTATTTTCCAGTGGAAAAACCAGTACTGATAGGACTGACAGTGAATCTGCAGTCCTGTCTCCAGTCAAACTGCAGATTATTATTCCAGCTGTCGCCATACCTCTTTTACTGCTGCTTCTTATTGGAGTTGCTTTTTATTGCTGGAGGAGAAAAGGTTGGGTTTTAATTTTATCAGTTAAAAACAAAAAAAAAAGATTAAAAATATTTTTTATTTAAAATAATGCTTAGAATGCTTCTCCAAACAGATTCTGTTTGATTCAAATGGTGAATCATTTGATTCCATTGAAATCAATCATTAATAAGCATAAACCGCATAAACTTGCATGGATGATACATCTAGTAGTTGTCACTTCCAAACTTGCTTTGGATGCAGGATCTGACCAAATAACTATAAGACCTATGTTGACCATTCTTGCATGGATGATGAAGATTCAACTATTATGCTTTCTTTGGATTCAGGATTTGATCTACAGTTTACGGATGTTTTTTTGGTGAAGCTTCATTCTAAACTATAAGCTCTATGTTGATCAAATTTACAAAGCTTGCCTTGGATGCTAAATCTGACCTATATTTTCTTGATGAGTGACCAGGTTAAAGATTTTGAACCATGTGTCATTTCCAAGTAATTATAAGGCTCATAAGCTTATGTTTACCAAACTTACATTGATGATACATTTAAACCCTAAAAGATGCATTCTAACAGACTTGCTTCAGATGCTGAATCTGACCTTTATTTTTGGGATGAGTGACCAGGCTGAAGTTTTTGGAGTAGGTCTCATTTCCAGGTAACTAAAAGTCCTATGTGGACCACACTCTAATGGATGATACATCTACAGTCTAATTAAAATTAGACCTTTGATCCCCTCCAACTAGTTTGTGTAGCAGTCTAGTAGAAGCAGATCAAAGATTTTAGTTAGATTGGATACATCTAAGGATGCATACCACCAGGTTTGCTTCAAATGCTGGAACTGACCTATATTTTCCAGATGAGTAGGTCAAAGATTTTGGAGCATGTCTGTTACGTATAAAGTATAAGATCTATTTAAATCAATCTTGCATGAATGATGCATATTGAAATGAACACTCAATAATTGGCTTCAGATGCTGGATTTGAATACATTTTCTGGAAGAGTGCTTAATTTAAAATATTTGGATGAAACCATTTTCAAGTATATACATAACTGTTAGCCCTATCAGATCAACATCAAATAAATGTTGCATCTTGGAATGTACACTACTAGATTATTAGTTTATTGTGGAACAATCTTTCTTCTTGCATTCTCTATTGAGACTAGCACGCTAACCACTATGCTACACAAGTCCTGATGAAGTTTGGCATTTAAATCATGTTTGTGATATGACCATTGCAATTGACTTAAGGGACTTTAAGTATTTCATGAAAAGACACGAAGATTATGTCAAAAAATTATATTTTTAAGGTATGGTGGGACTTTGCTCCATAATTTTGGAAACCAAAATATGTATGTTTGTATGCAAACTTTGAGGATTAACTTTCAAAAAAATGGAGAGAAGACCCACCCATATCGAAAAATAGTGTTATAGTATGAAAAAATGACTTGTTTTGTCCTCTTTCGTGTGTGTATAATATTTCATAGGCAATTAACTTCAATCTTCACGAGATTTGTGCAATTTATAGAGATTTTACGTAAAGTATACTTTAAGGAGGCTAGGGGGTCAACAGATTATTTTTTGTTAACCACCAGATATAATTTATTTTTAGCTCACCTGAGCCGAAGGCTCAAGTGAGCTTTTGTGATCAAAATTTGTCCGTTGTCTGTCGTCGTCGTTGTTGTTGTTGTCGTCGTCGGTGTTGTCGTTAACTTTTCACATTTTTATCTTCTTCTCAAGAATCACTGGGCAAATTTCAACCAAACTTGCTAATAAGTATCCTTTGGTAAAGGGAATTCAAGTTTGTTCAAATAAAGAGCCACGCCCTTTTTCAAGGGGATATAATTATGAATTAGAGAAAAATTAATGGCAATACTAAAGAATTTTCTTCTCAAGAACCACTGGGCCAGGAAAGATGAAACTCATGTGGAATCATCCTCAGGTAGTGTAGATTTAAGTTTGTTCAAATCATGATCCCCGGGGCTAGAGTGGGGCCAAAATGGCCGATCAAAGTTTTACATAGGAAATATATAAGAAAAATCTTTAAAAATCTTCTTCTCAAGAACCACTGGGCCAGGAAAGATGCAACTCATGTGGAATCATCCTCAGGTAGTGTAGATTCAAGTTTGTTCAAATCATGATCCCTGGGGCTAGGGTGGGGCCAGAATGGCTGATCTAAGTTTTACATAGAAACTATTAGGAAACATTTTTAAAAATATTCTTCACAAGAACCACTGGGCCAGGAAAGATGAAACTCATTTGGAATCATCCTCAAATAGTGTAGATTCAAATTTGTTGAAATCATGATCCCCGGGGCTAGGGTGGGGCCAAAATGGCTGATCTAAGTTTTGCATAGGAAATATTACGAAAAATTTTTTAAAATCTTTTTCTCAAGAACCACTGGGCCAGGAAAGATGAAACTCATGTGGAATCATCCTCAGGTAGTGTAGATTCAAGTTTGTTCAAATCATGACCCCCGGGGCTAGGGTGGGGCCAAAATGGCCAACCAAAGTTTTACATAGGAATATATTGGAAAAATCTTTTAAAATATTCTTCTCAAGAACCACTGGGCCAGGAAAGATGAAACTTATGTGGAATCATCCTCACGTAGTGTAGATTAAAATTTGTTCAAATCATGACCCCCGGGGCTAGGATGGGGCCAAAATGGCCAACCAAAGTTTTACATAGGAATATATTGGAAAAATCTTCTTCTCAAGAACCACTGGGCCAGGAAAGATGAAACTTATTTGGAATCATCCTCAGGTAGTGTAGATTAAAATTTGTTTAAATCATGACCCCCGGGGCTAGGATGGGGCCAAAATGGCCGACCAAAGTTTTACATAGGAATATATAGGGAAACTTTTAAAATCTTCTTTTCAATTACTTCAAAGCCATGATTACTGATGGAATCATCCTCAGGTAGTGTAGATTCTAATTTGTTCAAATCATGACCCCCTGGGGGGTTAAAATTCAAGCCCCCCCCCCTGAAAAGAGCTCTTCAAATGGACAGTTAAAAAGACAGTTGCAATTGGCAAAGAAACCACAAAAATTCAAATGAGAGTAGTTGTTATTTATCAGCCATGAAAAAAAAAGTTTTACCAATTGATATGTGTGAATTATGTTTTAGTAAATGAAATACCCCCGGTAAAACTCAAATAATGTAAACAAAAACTTTTAAAGTGTATTTTGATGCCTCGATACACAATATTACATCATAACAATGTGACCTTAATTTGTGCGAAAAAACGTGAGCTTAAAAATTGCTTGAGCTGTAAGGCGGGCAGAATGCCTATTATAGCGCGACAGATAAGAAGTGAAAAATTTAATGTCAATTATATCCAAATTTCATATTTCATTTAATTTTAAAGTATACTTAATGTAAAATCTCTATAATTTACAAAAATCTCACAAAGACTAAAAATATTTGCCTATGAAAAAGCATACACAGACTCCTGTTTATTCTTTTCTTATATAAGTATTTAAATTGATACTCTGATATTTGTATCTTTAGATGTAATCTTAATGTAGGACTGTTCTGTATTTATTAGGGATGTCAATTTTACTCGGACAGCTTAGTCGAATAGTCGGATGCTTTAGTCGAACGATAGTCGAATATTCGTTTAATTTTAATTATTTTTTCGTATCAGTTTCACTGTTTGTTTTTTACAGACTGGTTTACATAATTGAACCTACTCTATCACCATTATGTAACGAATTTCTGAATTGTAAACCTGTACGTAGTGCAATAAAAATTGTACACCAAATATTGTATCCAATGTATTTAATTTCAAAAGTAATATGTTAGCTGTGCACGTTTTATCTCAATGCAGGATAAACGTCCGTATTTGTCCTGGCTTTTATTTACATAACGGTATTTCATGTGCCCCTTAATTGAAGCCAATTATTACGTGTCCGTCAAAGATATTTCACAGGAAAAAAATTAAAGCGTGTTTCTTATAAAAACAAAGAGAGAGCGATAGCTTGGGATAAATTTAAATTATGAAATTTTGTGCAAACAATCAATGATTGTATGAAATTAATATCAGAAAAAGAAAACACGGTTTAATTACTCTCATATTAACTGACTCCGATTTACATGCATTTACAATTTTGTAATATTATAGCTGTTTACTAGTAATTAATATTCTTTCTGAATAGTTGTATCACGTCAGATCTTAGTTGAATCTACAAAAAACTAAACAATTTCCCTCTCCATTTAAAACAGTCAGAGATAGACAATTATTAATAAACATGTTTCATTTTTCTTTCCCATTCTGCTTTTTTTGTCATTTAGGCGGAGAACTTACTATAGGAAAGTTTCACTTGAAGACTGTGTATATGTTTGACTGATCGGCATATGATACATCATGTTTGATGTTAAACTGCAGAATACAGTTCTGTTTCACATATATTTGATAACACTGTTTACCTTTTTTAAGCTATACCAAAAACTCTATATTTTGAAGACATGTTTGCCGAACATACATCGACGTACAAATAATTTCCTTTGAACAAATATACCATACCCTTAATTTTACACATGAAAAATTAATATTGATCTGTAAATAAATGAAATGGGCAAATATAAGATTATTACCTTAAATTCAAAAATTACTTTGATGAAACACATTTTTAATGAATAATCGACTAAAGAAATTTTAGTCGATAGTCGGTATGATCGAACGATAGTCGAGTACTCGAATATTCGTTGACATCCCTAGTATTTATTTATTTATGTTACTTTTTATTAGGGACAAAGCTCGATGCAAATGACATTGAATTGCAGCCCCTTCTTCATCAGAATACAGTTCCTTGGAGTAAGATAATATTTTGTGATTGAACATTTTTCTGCTTTAGTGTCAATGAAATGTGTTTATTATAAACTATAAAGTAAATACGTGTAAGAGTTTTTATGAACCACAATAAATATGGCAGTGCATATAACATTTTTCATCTTCAGTTAGACATGTATAGTTCAGCTTCAAAGAAACTTTTCCAAGATATTTATATCAGATTTTAATAGCTAATAGTCATTGATCAGAGCTTTTCAAATAATATATAAATATTCTTTTAATTTTATATTTTTTTTTACTTTGCCCTTTCCTTTGACTTTACTTTACTCAAATTTGTATAGAGCTCAATTTCAAAGAAACTGCATGTGTTCAAGATTTGTATCAAACCATACATACTGAAAACTATTCAACCTCAACAATATTTTAACCTTGACCTTTCCTTTGTCCACTGTCTTTTTAAATTTGTTTTAAGTAAAGTTTCAAGAATTATTCAAAATAAAAAAAAATTTCTTAAACTTTTTGACCTCCCCCTTGACCAGTTATATATTGAATTGATATAAAACTCATTTTTAAGAAACTTCCAAAATTTTTAATCAAACCTAATATAGTTTTACATATTTCTGAGAGTTATACAACTTCATTAACATTTTTTACAATGACCCTTCCTTTGATTTTTACTTTTAATTCGTTTTAGCTAAATGTCAAAGAAAATGCCCAAAATACTTTTGTCAAACTTTTCATGCTTATTTAAGGCTAGTCAAATATTCGATCTTTTCCATTTGTAATATATAATTTTTTATTTGTATTGTATAATTTTTATTTGTGTTGTGTAATTTACCATTTGTTTTGTATAATTTTCATGTGCATAGTATAATTTTCATTTGTTTTGTATATTTTTAGCTCACCTGAGCCGAGGGCTCAATTAAGTGAGCTTTTCTGATCACATTTTGTCCGGCGTCCAAGTTTGGTCAAATCATGACCCCTGGGGGTAGGGCGGGGCCACAATGGCCGACCAAAGTTTTACATAGAAATACAGTGACTTCCACTTAATCGGATAGCGGTTAAACAAATATTTCGGCTATTTCAATATAATATCTGAGCACAAAACCACTTCTTATATATTTATTAATAATTTCACCTGATATTCTGATAAGAAAATATCAGAATTTTGTTTTATCTGATACAAAAATGTGGTCCATCGTAGTATTTTTTGATAATTGTGATCTTGTTCACACCTCTAACTTCCCCAGTGAAGCCTTTGTTTACACTGTCTGACACCTTGAGTACGATAATGAGGGGATTAGTTACAGCTGAACGCACGCAGTCACCTTACCTGTGTTAATAATTGGCACACTAAATTGATATGTTTTGATACGGTTATGATAATCAGCTTGGGTTAAAATTACTTTAAATTTATGTACTCGATAATTATGATAACTGTTTGCAACTTTTTCCAAAGCTAGATTTTAATTATTGAACGTACATGTATTAGCTTGTGTATGCCAATTTGCTGGGACACTGAAATGCATCATATTTACAGGACTGTTGACTTGAGAATTGTCACAAACAGTATGAAATTTTTAACCATATTAAAGAAACAAATAAAACAAAACAACTTAATATTTTTGTTTAATATTAATGTGCCATTTATCCGGGGAAAAAATAAATTACGGAATAAAGTCAGGCATTTAGTCTACTTTCGTTTCCAAAATGGCGGCCATCGAAGAAGGAATGTTAACATGTGCTGATTAAAGATAGCAATAACTTTAAAAAAACAAATTTTATAAGTCATTTGAGTAGAAAAATGTTATCACATTAAACTGATGAGTAAGTTTAACATTTTAATTTAGGAGAATCGCCACGTAAAGTAATCAAACGAAACGAAAGTGCAAGTTGTCAATACATTTTTTGTACATGTACATCTTTGTTTGGACTCAAAATAGAGCAAAACGGCTATTCCAATATTCGGCTATTGTGATAACAGAAGGCTGGCAAACTTACTATCGGAATAAGCGGGATCCACTGTATATAGGAAAATTCCTTAAAAATCTTCTGATGAAGAATAACAAAGCCATGATTGATCATATTTAAATGGAAGCATCCTCAGGTAGTGTAGATTCAAGTTTGTTCAAATCATTACCCCCGGGTGTAGGGCGGGTCCACAATGGCCGACCAAAGTTTTACATAGAAATATATAGGAAAATTCTTTAAAAATTATCTTCTCAAGAATAGCAAAGCCATGATTTGTCATGGGGCTACTTTTGGATTTAAACTTTTTAATAATACTGTAGATCACTAAATTTTCGCGACACCTTATTTTCGCGAGATTGTCATTGACTCTTTGTAAGCGAGACATAATTTTCACGAATTGTTGTTATTCCTCTATATAACCGTAAGGAATACTTTTATACGCGAGAATTTAATTTTCGCGAACGTATTGGCTCGCTTAATTACGCGAAAATAAAGTTCTCGCGAATAAAAAGTGATTTACAGTAAACCAATTTCTACTTTTTCCTAGCCACAGTGCTCAGGTGAGCAATGTGGCCCATGGGCCTCTTGTTTATTAGTAGTCTATAATTTTCCATTTGTATTCTATAATTTTTCATTTGCATTCTATATTTCTCACTTGCATTGTATAATTTCTTATTTGTATTCTATAATTTCTTATTTGTGTTTTAAAATTTCTTCTTTGTATTTCATAATTCGAGGATTGTATATTTATTTCATTACAAAGGATTTCATCGATCAATTTTTACCCTGTATCATGCTAAAAATAAGCAAGGTGTTCTGGGTGCACCGGAAAAGCAAACTGGGCTCCTCCATTTGCGTTCATGTTAGAGGACAGCCATTAACATGAAAAGGGAGCGCTGGCAGAAATAAAGTAATCTGTCCTTAGAGTCCGCGCAAATACATGTATAGGAATCCAGAATTCACCTAATCGCAAACATATCTAGCTTGTTTGAACACTTTACTACTAGAAGACTAAAACTTGAGATGACAAATTAAATCCTTCGTAACGGAAAAAATAAACAAACCAATGGATACAATGCAAATGAAAAATTATGGAATACAAATAAAATTTTTATCCATAAAGATAAATTTTACCATACAATTAAGAAATTATATAATGCAAATGAAAAATTATACAATTTAAATGAAAAATAAATTAATAATGGTAATTTTCATTCCTATGTTGATACAAAATATCCTTGTGAACTTGAGATAAAAGATACCACAGAGTCTGACACATCTGTCTCATATTTGGATGTTTTACTTGAAAAAGATGTTAATGGTAATCTAACAACCAAGCTCTATGATAAAGGCGATGACTTTTAACTTTTCTATCGTCAATTTCCCTTACAAATGCAGCAATTTAGCTTCATCACCTGCATACGGTGTTTTTATATCTAAGTTGATTCGATAGGCAAGAGCATGCTCTACGTATGAACAATTTTTAAAACAATGTAAATTATTGCCAACAAGTTGATGAAAAAAAAATTACAACGCTCTCGTCATCATTTCGTAAGTTCTTTGGTCGATACAATGACCTTGTCAGCAAATACAATTCATCATTGAGTCAAATGCTGACTAACGCTTTTTATTCTAATTGTTAGTCCTTTATTTATACAATGAACTGACGACGGATTTTTCCTTGACTTCCCGATCATGACAAGAAGCACACGGCTGGTGTGACCGGTCAGCAGGGGATGCTCACTCCTCCATGGCACCTGATCTCACCCCTGGTGTTTTAGAGGTCCGTGTTTGCTCTGCTCCCATTTTGTTTTGTTTTATGGACTTTTATATTGAATGCTGTTCGTTATCTCCATATCCTTCAAATAAACAAATGAAAAATTATTTAAAAAAAAAAAAAAAAAAAAAACAACTTAAACATTATAAAACAAATTGAAAATTATGCACATAAAAATTTTACAATACGAATGAGAAATTATACAATACAAATGGCAAAGATGGAATATTGCAACATTTGGCATGCCATATTATTTATATTGAAGAGTGCTATGTAATGGCATTCACATTTTTATCTTGACTTCAAAATTGTTTTTAGCATAGTATCAAAGAAACTATTCAGCGTATTTCCAATCAACATTCATGATCTTGACTTCAAATTTGTCCTTAACCTCTCTTTTTTTCTATATTGTGTTTAACTCAAAGAAACCATTTCAGATATTTTTATATAAGGTTATGCACTGATACCTTATTCAGTGAGAGTTAATACACTAAAAATATAAATTTTTATGTTGCATAGCTAATGAACCCTGATGGTGCATTCATGTCCTATGAACATATTTCTAGTATTTGTTATAAGTGTGTAATTCACTGTTTTCAAAAAGACATTCACTGTTAACTTTATTTGCATATCAAGCCATATGAATAAGCATTCTAAATTTTCTTTTAAGTCTCATTTTACTTGAAAATAAAAAAAAAAAATAAAAATAATGAAGTAGAATTTGAGAAAAAAAGGTTACCTATAAGCACTAATTATGGAATCTTTGTTACAGAACTTTTAAATATCTCATTAAGAAGTACCAGTTTAATTAATGCTGCAATGTACAACACATTGAAATTTGGGTTGAAGGACGTCCAGATTCACTTCTGACATATGTTATTACTGATGTTTTCAGACACCATATCTAGAAACCTTTTATTTGTTTACTGCCATGTATTTCTTTTAGCACCTGTACTGGCCATTACAGGCTGCATTCTAAATATGAAAATGAACATTTAATATAATTTCTAAATTTCGTGCATTTACAGGATTTAAAAAGACTATAAATTACTTGGAGAACAAAGTATTCTGCCGGCCTGAATCCTATGAACATGCTGTTGGTATTTTGTCAACAAAAGGCCACATCACGCTTATTGGTCCACCAGGATCAGGAAAAACTTTTATGGCTGTCCAACTTGCAAGACAACTCTGTGGAAAAGAAAAGACCCAGATGGTGTTTTGCAAAACACTGCACGAAATAACTGCATTGCCTAAATTGGAAAATGCATGCTTGTATGTTATTATGGATGGTTGGCTAGACCAATATATGTATTATCCTTCAAAAGTGAAAGAAGATAAACAGTTGTTTGACCATATTTTTGACGATTGCATAAACTATAAAACAGTACGAATCATTTTTACAGTCCAAGAAGATAGATGGAAAGCATACGGGAATCGTTTGTCAAATCAAAAGATGTTTTGGCGTGAAAGTTTGTTCTTTATAAATAATAAATCATTTAGTAATGAAGTGGTGCAAAGTATGATTATACACCACTTACAGTATCATGAGACCAGAGAGGATTCCATGAGAACAAAGACGAAATCTGATGAGGAAAATTTGACAAACGAGAAAAGGAATAAAGAGAAAATAATCAAACAAGCCATAGCAGAAGATCTGAAAAGAGATAAAGAGTTTTCTTTACCGTTGGTGATTGACTTACTCTGTGCAAATAATTTATTAGTGCCAAAAAGAGCAAAAGTTACAAAGCATGGATTTTCAAAGATTTTGCAAAAATTTTTACAGAAGTGGTTGACAGACGAATCAAAAGATGAAAAGGACAGCTTTACTATTTTCTTGTTTACAGCTCTTCAAGGAGGAAAGGTTACGCTACACGATTTTTCAAGTAAAGTGGTTCGTCCAACTTATGAAAATGTTTGTAAAGAGTATAAATCAGAATGTCGCGAGGATATTGAGAGCATTGAAGGCTTGTTAAGGCAAAATGGACGTTTAATGAGTTGTTTGTACGAAGAAAATGATGTATTTGTTTTCCGTCACGATTCACTGTTATGTTTTGTGCTGCAGTTCCTTACCGAGACAAAAAATGCTAATTTTTTAATTCAAAATGCTGATCTTGAAATTCTTCTAAACAGATGCTGGATTAAAGATGGGATATTTAAATCATATAATAATGCAATAAAGGATATAATTCCAAGTAACCCAGTCGGTACAGTTTGTCTACCAATTGACGCATTCATGGACTTGGCAGTAAGAATTAATGGAGAAATGGAAAGATCTTGTCAAACTTTTCCTGATTGGCCTAAGCATGTTTTTATGGAACATAGTACATTCCTGAAAACGTGGAATAAAGTGCAACCAGAATTAAATGTAGCCTATCCTGAGAAATGTCCTGGTAAATTACCTAATGTTAGTTTAAGCATCAGCAAGAACGAGGAAACGAGCTTTCATGGCTCAAAATCCCCTGGAATTGTTCTTATCCAAACTGAAATAGAAAAGAATAGTTTACAAATCAAAATCAAGGACGAAGAGAAAGCAATAAGTGATTCCGACTCTAAAAGAACTGGTTATGAAGAAGAAATTGGACAAAAAGGTGTAAAACCAGTACTGGAGAATAAGTATTTTTCAGGTCCAAATAAGGGAGAATCACCTGAAAACTTTTCGAATCCAAATACACATGCATTTGAAGATGGACAAAGCACTCACAAAACGAAGAAAAATAAAGGCAAAGTGATCTCCGACAAAGCAAAGATTAAGTCTGATAAACAGCAGAAGAAAAGAGAGGTGTAGAAACATCGCAGAAGGACAGTGTCTCTCTAAATCAGCCTGAAGGAGAAACAGCCGTGTAAAAATCTTGTAGTCTTAGCGAGAAAGCAAGGCAAAGAGGGCGAGTTTCTATGTACGGTGGCCTTGTATTATTTATGACACCGATTCATCTTAATTCTTTATAAATGTTTTAATATTGAAACTAAGGGAAGAAAATGATGTTTGACAGATGAAATTGCATATTTTATAGGTGTAGCCTCCTGTATCCTACAAGTTTTGTTTAAAAATAAATAAAATCCATATAATATAATGCACATTTCTTTGTTGTTTAAAAAAGCCATAAATTGATACCTCAGTGTACAAACCTTCGGGAAGATAAATTGTTAAATATTGAAATATAAATTTAAGGTATGTCACTCGTGAAATTTGATTTATCAAGGATTTTTTGAGAAGTAACTTGTAAATAATACTCATATAGTACGACTCGAAAACGCAGAGAAAATAGGGGGTATTGCATCTTGGCTACGATACAATTAGAGTAAACCTTTTTGAACTTAAATTTTAACTTTTGATTTATCACTTTGACCTTTATCATATTTTATCAGATGTAATTATGACTATAAATATAATCTAATTTTACATAAATTATTTTGAATAATATTTATCATTGAACAAATATTGCAAATTAATGCGGCGCCTAAATTATTGCCTGATCTTTTTGCACAAAAAAGTAACATACATTATATTTGGGGCAATAAAATATTTTTTGTATCAAACTTTTTACGACTTAAAGGCTAAAGTTCCAAGATATAGATTTAATAAATGTGTAGATTTGCAAAATTTTCTGCTAAAATAATCTTTCTACCACAAGAAATAGTCCCTCATAAATCTTAGCTTCTTTATGATTGTTTTTTATGTTTAACAATATACATAATTTTTCATTTAAATATGTTATAAAAATTGAATTGTAAAAAATAGTTTAGAAGTACATGTAATACGTTCTGCCCGAACTTTTCTAAAAAGCTGACGAGTGACATATCTTCATTAAAATATATTGAAAATTATTTTTTTCTTTTCATTGATTAATAGCAGAGTGCATGGTAATATTGAGCAGTCAACCTGCTACTAGAATTGTACAGTCTGTGGCTCTTGGGTCAATGGTTTAGGCTTCAGGATAAGGGGAAAGAGGGATGTTCAGTTTATGCATAGAAATACCCTGTCCATATACCAATAAAGTGCCCAAGTCACAATGTCCAATTTATAGCTTTCTTTTTCTATAGAATTAAGGTTTCCTGTGAGAGTCCAAAAGGCAAGGTTTGGGCTCCGGGATAAGATTCGTTTAACATATTCTTGAAATTAGTACTTGGTTTAAGGTAGGATTCTTCGCTGGTTTCTGACTAGATGAAACATTCAAAGTATATTTGCTTATATGTCTTATATATTGAGGTGTAAGGAATTTAAAAGACCATATTTTTCTTTCCTCATCACAATTGTACAACTTTAAATAAAAATGTTAAACTGCTATTGAAAACTAGAGCAAAGCTCGTTGCAAAGCAACGAGTAGGTCTTCCGTCCTGTTTGACCGGAAGTCGCTCTCATTTTTAACAAAAATGAGAAATAACGCCCAAAAATGCTTTGAATCCTCTAAAGCTATGTTTATTAATGCAAAAATAAGCCATTTTTTGCTACTTCCGGTTTGACCGGAAGTGACGACTACGCACGAAAAATTAATTTTTAAGCTCCCAGAGACATATGTTGCCCAAAAACTTGTCAAAAACGGCAAAAATACGCGTTAACCGACTACTTCCGGTTTGGCAGGAAGTGAGGACGTTGGACGTATTTTGACGACTCCATTAGATTTAGCTTGACATTTTCAACAATTTTGCTTCTTTGATGTATAACAAAATCTCAATACTTTTAAAGATATCTGGAAAAAACTTTTGGCCCCTCTAGATCCCTTAATTTATGGGTCAGCCCTTTTTCCGACATATCATTTGAAAGATCTTCTAATTCTTCACAAATTATGCTCTATATATTTTAACAAAATATTTTTAGTTTAGAAGATAAGAAGCAAAATATGAGTAATTTTTGGTTCTTTTAAGCGTTCTAATTTTTGACCCCTATATAGCGCCATTTTGAATAGAGAAATCGAAAAACAAAAACCGATGTGCACAACTTCAATCCTTCTGTTATCTAAAATCAGTAGAATTTCTGCTCCAGCTTTAGCCGTCTCTGAGCCTTTGTCTGGAAACGAAAGCCTATAAATTTTCGTTAAAAGGGAAATAACTCAAAACCGGAAGTGACTTTTTGAAATTTTAGTCGGCATTCTGATAGAGTTTATAAACGTCTATAACCTCTGAAAATTTGAGCGAAATCCGTTGAGAAATGAGCGAGTTACGAGGTCTCAAAGTTGGCGTCTAGGAAAAAAAAAAGAATAATAAGAATAATCTTAACCATCAGAATCAGTAGAAGGTCTTCCGTTGGAAACGGAAGACCTTAACTAGCAGGGACTATATTTTTGGCGGAATGGTGGCGTATGAAAATGTCTTCTTTTCTGCCTCTCAAAATTATAATAGAACAAAGAATTAAGTTATAATTTTTAAACAATCGCAGACTTGGAGGAATTTTCAAATATAAGTTGAATTAATAATGAGGGACTAAACTTTCAAAATATATTAAATAAATATGATTTTTTGAAACAAACTGGAACTTTGTTAGCTTTTAAATGCTTCCAATCAAAGTGCAGATTTGAGCCAAAAATCCATAAAAAGTATTTTTTCTCTCTTAGTAAACGATCAAAACTTTTTGTTTTTGTATCATTTTGTACATTTATAAGACTACTTTATTACGTGTGAAAATAAGAAAAAGTTAAATATAGGAAGCATATGAAAATAACTAATATATCCTAAAAAAATGAAGAAAAACAGAGAAAATTCGGATTAGCCAATATCCAGTTAAGTTAAATTACTTACGTAAATTTGGTAATATCATGCTATAGACCCGATATAGTAATATGTTTTTACGCAAAAAGAACAATCTTTAAACTTTTGAAATAGAAGTAGGTATCACATGATTGGCAACAGTATTTTTTATTCTCAATGTCAAGGAAAAAGATAATGACCTTGACCTGACCTTGCCTCTAATATAAAATGATCAAATTTAATTTCACTGATACTATCACTTACTGATATTGTCTTCTTGATTCTGTGACAATTTCATTAATTTTAAAATATTAGAAATATGAGAAGAATCCTACCTCAATTGGATTAAAATTTATGTCCCTTTTCTCTGTCTACTAAGTTTATGTTCATGATAAAAAAAATATTTAAAATTGATATGATGATTACAAATATAAACTGCCCCTATGCAGGATTCCATAAACATGACCCACAAATTAAATATGTTATAAATCGTTAAAATCCTAGTAGCTTTGAAAAAGTATTTTTAAAAAATCTCTGAAACCAGGGAACAAATTTTAGGGGATGTTATTCCCAGATAGCAGCACATCGTTGGCCCAATCTTACATTATGGTTTTTATTATCGCTGTTGGGTTACCTTTATCGGACCAACGTTGGTCCAACATGGAATATTGATAGTTGTTGATGTATCATGGGGCCAAGTTAAGCTAACTGTTGGCGTTATATCATAAAACTTATGATGAGATAGAATATTTGTTGTGGAATTTGCATCGGCTCTAAGTTGGCCCAACACCATATATCTGGCTGAGCATCATAGGTAGATAGCATGAGGGCTACTTGTAATATCTGCTCCATTTTTAATCTTACACGAGCTTATTGCGACCGATACATTGCACATCTACATCCATTTTGTAAGTATTTATAATATGTTTGCTTTGACACAGCATAATTAACGTTTAGTTTAAACAATGTCTCATACATGTATTCTACTTTGAATATTGATTTCTTTAGGGCGAAAATCTAAAGCGGAGTGATAATTTTATGCATAAATGCCTTTATCACGCAAGCTAATTGCTTTAATCACATCATGAAACCAAAAAATTAGACGGTTATTCCTTAATTGACAGCTTAAATATATAGTGATTTACTTGTAAATTTAATCGTTTGTTTACTCTTTACTGAAAATGTAACAAATGTAATAAAAGTACCAAATACTACAATTTTAGAGAGTGTTCGTAAAAACAGAGCAACTGGAGATTCTAAAAGCAAAGACATTGAGAAAACTATCAAAGAACGACTAAGCTAACTATGCCAAGGAAAGGGGAGGGAAGAAACGGGCAGAGAAGAAAAGAATGGAGGAGGAGGAGATTCGGGAGAGGGATCAGATGGAAAGTGACAGTGCTTAATTTTTTTCTCTTATACTTATAGTTCTACCTTTTTGTGTGTCTATTTGTCGGCAACGGACACTTTGCAGATGCAAGAAACGTAATCCATGAGGGCTTGATTTTTAGACGTGCTTATTGATACTTGCAATTTACTGAACTTGTGCATTCACATCATACAACCGTACATGCTACAAGTGAGCATCAACTTTTTGTTCTTTATAAATGTTTTCTTCATGAACTGAGCAGTAAAATGAAATAAAACCAGTGAAAAGCAATTGAGTTGGCCTGATGCAGACCCAATAAGATACACTCACACCACGTTGGCCCCAAAACAATGGTTGCCTAATATTGAAAGAATTAGTGGCCCAACAATGGCTCAATAATATCCGTTCCATTGGTCCAACAATAAGCCAACAAGTTGGTCTGATTACGCAGCACAGTTAAGGTTACAAATGGAAATATCGGCGATTTTTTAAGATAAAAAATAAATACTTTATTAGGATGGGCGAATCTTTTTAGGAATTCACTGATATAAAAAAAAATGTAATGTGGTTTAAATCTACATGTTGGGGACATTTAGATTTTTTATTTAGACTTTTCATGTGATGTCGACGTCACATGACTTTGCCAATTATACTTGCAGTTTAGAGGTCATCTATAAATTTCAATATTGCAAGGGCATAACCAAGCTAAAAATCTTAGTTTATTTTATAATCCTTTTCAACACTATATGTAGTTTGTGAAAAGTGCTGCGAACCTATATAGATTCCCTTTTTTAATTGGTAAAATTTAATTTGTTGGACGGCAGGTTGAATATTTTGCTGGTCAACTACATTAAATATAGCTATAATTAATTTATTTGCAAGATTTCAAGAGGTTCGCAGCACTTTTCAAATATCTTAATGCTTCCTGAGTTTATGTGTAAAATTTTGACAAGATACATTGGGGGTAT